TTTCTTCACCACAGGAATTCCGTCAGGTGATTTTTTTCATTCCGACGATTCCCACTGAAACGACTGGATTGTGGATATTCATTTCTGCTTTGTTGCTAAGTTACGAATCTCCACCCACTCCAATGTCACATCTGAACCAAGTGGCTTGCTATTGGTCGGCGCTGCAAATGTGAGTGTCAAAATTCACCAAATTTGAACCCAATGTGAAATTCGCCTTTGGAAATGTCTTTGTCACCAGAAGTGCATTGGGCACAATTCTTCCTTTCGCCGATTGCCACTGAAACAACTGGATTGTGGATATTAATTTTGCTTTGTTGGCTTACTGTTGGTCGGTTCTGCGAATTTGAGTGTCAGCTTTCACCAAATTTGAACCCAACTCAAAATTTGCATTAGGAAGTTTCTTCACCACTGAAAAATCACGCCAATTCCCATTGAAATAAATGTGATTTATTCTACTGAGATATAAGTATGCTATTATAAACGTAACAGAATTAAATAATAGCTCCTAAAATTAATTAATTGGTTTTTATGTTGCCATTGTACTAAAACAGTTCTACATTGTACTGTTATTTGTGCTAATTTCTGTTCCCAGTCTGACATGAATCACATGATATGTTGGTGAAAACTGTGAAAATGACTTCACATCTGTGTCACTTCTGCATTTCGCTCAGCCTTTCACTCTGATTTCCCCATCTTTGTCAGCTCAAACTAAAGTGATGTTTTTAGAGCTCGTCCACCAACATTTTCATATTTGTCTCTAAGCAACAGAGTTCACCTTTGTCCTGCTCAGCTGGACTTGACGTAATGTACTTATCGCCATCTATTTTTGCTAAATATTGTGTTGGAGTTAATCCCTGCTGGAAAATCCAGCTTAATCTGATGGCTGTTTTGGAGTGTGGTAGCTGATCTAATCTAGTCATGAGCTGGTAAATCATCTTGGACCAGCAACAGACCTGCTGCATTATGTCACCAAAGTGTAAACGTAAAAACCGCAGGGGCTGAGGGGTCAGTCGGAACAGGAAGTAGTGTTAGACCACTTCCTGAAACATAGGGTGTGTGGTTGCATTTGGTTTCTTGTGTCATTTTTAAAAACTTTATTCTTTCAGAATCCTGACACTCATGATTCCTGGTTCAAGATCTGAACACTCTAAACAATGCTGGGTTGTTTCAATCCAACTTTGGGTCAGATATGGACTAACCCAACTTTTGGGTTAAAATTTTATGTATAAACTTAACCCAACGGTTGGGTTAATCCATATTTGACATATTTGAAACAACCCAGCATTTTTTTTAGGGTGCTTTCACACTAGCACTTTTGGTGCGCACCCGGGTTCGATTGACGTCAGAGTTCGGTTCGTTTGGATGATGTGAACGCGGTCTTCCGAACTCGGGTGCGCACCCGTGAACCGTACCCGAGTCCGCTTAAAAAGGGTGGTCTGGGGTACGGTTCAAGTGAACTCCGGTACGGTTCGCTGCTGATGTGAATGCAATCGTACCAAATCACGGAAGTGAACCGCTATTAATGACGTATTATTTGATAAAAATGTGTGTTTCACTCACTTTCCTGATGAGCGTGACACGCGCTGCAAGCAGAGAGCTGTATATCTCATTTCTGTTCGCCTTCAGAGTTCTTTAGAGCATTTGCAGTAAGGCAGACGTAAGTGCCGTTATGTACTGAAGCTTTGGAAACAAAACCAACGGTTCAAAAGCATAAATATAGAATTGAAGAGAGCAATGCTACGCATTTTGCCGTCTTCTCCTGCGCCGTCGTTACTAAGCAACGGGGTAAACAGCTGCTGGCCTGATGACGCAAACGAACCGCGGTTTGGACCCAAATAATATAATGTGAACACAGTCCAGCGGGGGCAGGGGGAGGGGGAGCAATCGAACTCAGGTTCGGACCAAGCAATCGAACCAAGTGTGAAAGCACCCTTAAGAGTGCAGATTTAGGGAACCGAACCCATTTTCCAGCTCAGATCTACGTTTTCTGCAGAGGAAATCAGGCTTATTTATTTATTTAGATTTTGAAAAATGACATAAAATATGATTATATTATAAATATATGAATAAAACTTTCAAATTAGGAAATTTAGAAATGTTGTTGTCTTGGCAACTAACTGAAATAAAACAAGTTTAATTTGAAGTACTTGCATGACTAGAACCATTACTGAAATAAAGATAATTATAAATACTAAAAACAAAACTAATAAAAATGACAAAAGAACAACAAAGTTACTAAAATTTTAATTAAAATTAAAACTGAAAATATAAAAATAAAAAATCTAATCAAATGTTTTAAATGTTAAAGAGCATTCGGGCGTCACAACATTCTCATATAATTGATGAAAAATGGATTTATTGTTTATTATTTAATCAATCTGCATTTAATATAATTATGTAATAATAACAATTTAATGGCTGATTATTAAAATTCCATACTAAATTGCCTAAAAAAAAAAAAAAAAAAGTGACTCACTAAAATCAGACCTTTTAAACAAGTGAATTTAGCCATTACAACCTCATAACGTAGATCATGAAAATGGACACTCATTTTTCATTATTTAATATAGTATTTAACACATTTTTAATAAGTATTTAATATAATTATTATTATTAACAATTTTGTTAAGACTAATTATTAAAATTACATACGATATTGTTTTAATTGTTTTAAAACATAAATTGCTAAAATCAAACATTTTAAACGCCTATAAACTATAATTAATCATTACAATTATGTTATATGCAGATTATTAAAATTCTATTATGTTTTGTCTAAGTAAAATTAAAACACAAAAAATCACGTTAAATGATTAAGTGACAAATGATAAAGTGAATTAATTTAGGCATTACAGTATTATAAGTGAAAAATAGATATAATTTTTTCATAATTTAATAATTTAAGTTTTTTTATTATTTGAATTCATTTAATTTCTTAATTTAAAGGTGACATATCATGAAAATCTGACTTTTCCAGGTTTTAAGTGCTATAATCAGGTCCCCGGTGCATCTACCAACCAAGGAAACGTGAAAAAGATGAACCCAGTAACTTTGTTTTGGGAAGCCTTTTTCTGCAAGCGTCTGAGAAAACCAGCGCGTCTGATTTCGCTCCCTTGGTGACGTAGCAAAGGGGTCTCATTATAATATTACCGCCCCTTAATCTGTAAACTTCCACCCATGGCTCTGTTATTGTGTTTTCACAAGAGACACCGGTGTACCAGCTCTAATGCCGTGGCGAAAGTTTGAGCAAAACATGCTAACTGTTCTGTGTTTGGCTGCACAGACGAGCACAGAACACTGTTTAGAGTCCCAGCCTCAGAGGAGACAACAGAGCAGTGCATTTATTGATTTATTTACTGTCTATTTCTGCTGCCACACATATCTAAAATAACCCTTCGATTTATTTCCCAGCAGTTTACCTTCACAGACATAACCGACTGTTTTTGTAACTCATGTGTGTTTTTAACATAAACTTGTGTGTGAATGAGAACTTAGTTTAGTACTCGCATGCTGTGACAGCCGCTTTCTGTCCGTGTGCTTCGGATGTGTGCGCTCAGAAAACCATATATATGAAGTTTAAACTCATATGGTTTAAAACGCATGATTTCAGCACGATAAACATGATAATCAGAACCAAAACAGATGTTTTTAACAGGTCCCAGCTGTAATGACGCAGCTCTATTCTGGAAAAGGGGGCGGGGGAGCAGCAGCTCTTTTGCATTTAAAGAGACAGGCCCGAAAAACAGCGTGTTTCTGCTTCCACTCAAAATAGGCATTTTCAAAATGATATAATAAATGATCTGTGGAGTATTTTGAGCTGAAACTTCACAGACACATTCTGGGGACACCAGAGACTTATATTACATATTGTAAAAAGGGGCATAATATGTCTCCTTTAAGTATTTAATATAATTATTTAATAGTAACAATTATGCTTATTTTTTTCTGAATAAACTAAAACCTACAATTAGTTGTTTAAAATGCTACACGTGAATTAAGGCAACACAACATTATAATAACTAAGAAATATAGATATTAATTTTGAGATTGACTTCCATTTGAGAGGGTTTATGATGTTGTTTTGAACACATATTTTAAGTGCGTGTTAGATGACAGGTAGTCTAAATGTGGAAATAGAGGAAGTTAGATTTAAAACAATGATGTAATGTCAGCAGGTGATCCATATATCCTGCATCTTAACACTCAAGAATGCAGTGCTTCTGTGGTCTGGAGTGTTTTTGTGGCCGACTTTGACTCCTCCTCAGTCATGCGCTGGCCTCATGCTCTGCCTGCTTTCATGGCCCAATAACCCATTCTTCAGAAACGGGAAGTGCTTTTCTTGATGTAGCGACACTCGCCTTCAAGCTTTTCGAGTGCCATCTTGATGATTGTGACTAATAAGGCCAAAATGAAACCTTATACCGTGTCTCAAAGTGAAAGTGTCCGATAAAGGTGACAATATTAAGAGCTGAAGATAAGAGCTTTATTTATAAAGACTTGATACTTGTCAGTTTTTCTCTGGCCTTTCCCCAGACTGCTGTTGTTGCAGTGTGTTCCTCCAGCAGAGAGAGCTGTTGGGTGTTTTTTGCCGACTGAAGGAATTCTCTGCTGATTGTTTGTCCGCAGGGTTTCCTGATTGGCGCCCGTCCCGAGAACGCCTGCGTGCCGATCGACCCCCCGCCGCTGCGGGACAACCTCAGCAGCGCCTTCATCGTGCTGATCAAGCGCTTCGACTGTAACTTTGACATCAAGGTAGGTTTCACCGCAGGATGTTTTTTGCCAAATGATGTGTTTGGCATAAACACAGCTGATTTCCCGCTCACAGATCTCACAGGAGACGTGGGAAACACTGTTTATACATGCAGCGTAACGTGTCAGAACGGCCTCCTCAACACTTGCCAGCACATGAACTCATCAGGCCATTGATTTCATGATTGTTCTTCAGCATGGGAAAGATCTCTATCAGAGTGAAACTACTGATGCAAAACAAAGCCAGCTGTATGTCCACAGTATAAATAACAACTTTGATTGCATGCAGGCATTTTGGTGACACTTTATTTTACCTAAGAAAGGCCTGGGTAGTGTCAGGTAACTACATGGTTTACGGGTATGTTCAGGGTTAGTACCTAGTTAGTGTTACCCAGTTATTGTAATTATTATAACAAGTACATAGCATGTACACACGGAACAGGACTGTAAAAGTGCTACCAATATTTTAGTATTATGTATGTACCATTATAGAATTTATGAATATATTGAAATAGGTTTTATTTTTTTCGATTTTCATTTTAATTTTAGTTTTTATTATTATTAATATTTTTAAATACTTTCATTTATCTTTTAATTTATTTAAATTATTCAAATTTCAGGTATCGTTTCTCATGGTTGTTTACATTTTTTAAGTTAAAGTCCTTCATGTAATATTTATGTTTCATTTTATTTCAGCTTTATTTCAATTAATTATTATTATGATTTTTTTTTTTGTAGATTTGGTTTTAGTCGGTTATTTTAGTTAACTAAAACAAAACATTTCAATAAAAATAATGTTACTTAAAATGAAATAAAATGAATGTTAACAAATAAAATAAACTATATTTTATTTAAAATTTAAAAAACTTAGTTTATTAAACTTACTTATTCAACTTATTTGAAACCTTATTTCAGCTAGTTGCAAGGCAATATTTCCTTTTTTTTGTTTAGTTTAACTTGAAGTATTAAAATAACTAAAACTAAATTGAAAAAAATACAAATAAATAAACATGCATAAAAACTAGACATAAAAAATGCAACAAAATTATAAAAAATTTAAGTGAAAGCAGAAAATAAAAAAATAAAATCTGTTTCAGAATATTAGCGAAAACTTAGTTTGTCAATGATACTAAAATTACACTGGTTTTAGAATAAATACTTTAACACAGTATATATTACAGTTTAGTTACTTTTGCGGGAAGTTCAATGAAAATATTTTACATTTACATTATGCATTTGGCAGACACTTTTATCCAAAGCGACTTACAAAGAGAAACAAAGCTTTTAATATTAATAATATGAATAAGCATAAGAATAGCTATTTTTAAATAATCAAGTTTTTAAATAATCAAGTTTTATAATATAAAGGAGAGGCATTTTTATTTTTGTTGTGATATTCTAGTTTCTTGGCAATGCTTGATAAAGCACTTTGTCCCATCATGCTTTTGCTCAGGTAGATGCCTGACTCTATGTGTGTGTGCGTGTGTGTGCGTGCGTGTGTGCGTGCGTGTGTGTGAGTGTGAGTGTGAGTGTGAGAGTGTGTGTGTGTTTGTGTGAGTGTGAGAGAGTGTGTGTGAGAGAGCGTGAGTGTTTGTGTGAGTGTGTTTGTGTGTGTGAGAGTGTGTGTTTGTGAGTGTGTTTGTGTGTGCGCGCATGTGTGCGCGCGTGTGTGAGTGTGAGGGTGTGTGTGTGTGTTTGTGTGTGTGTGTGAGTGTGTGAGTGTGTGAGTGTGTGTGTGTGTGAGTGTGTGAGAGTGTGTGTGAGTGTGAGGGTGTGTGTGTGTGTTTGTGTGTGTGTGTGAGTGTGTGAGAGTGTGTGTGAGTGTGAGGGTGTGTGTGTGTGTTTGTGTGTGTGTGTGAGTGTGTGAGAGTGTGTGTGAGTGTGAGGGTGTGTGTGTGTGTTTGTGTGTGTGTGTGAGTGTGTGAGAGTGTGTGTGAGTGTGAGGGTGTGTGTGTGTGTTTGTGTGTGTGTGTGAGTGTGTGAGAGTGTGTGTGAGTGTGAGGGTGTGTGTGTGTGTTTGTGTGTGTGTGTGAGTGTGTGAGAGTGTGTGTGAGTGTGAGGGTGTGTGTGTGTGTTTGTGTGTGTGTGTGAGTGTGTGAGAGTGTGTGTGAGTGTGAGGGTGTGTGTGTGTGTTTGTGTGTGTGTGTGAGTGTGTGAGAGTGTGTGTGAGTGTGAGGGTGTGTGTGTGTGTTTGTGTGTGTGTGTGAGTGTGTGAGTGTGTGAGTGTGTGTGTGTGTGTGTGTGTGAGTCACTCCACTCACACCTGATGTTGGTCATTATCACTGAGGTGAAGCAGAGTTTCTCCTCTTCCTGTGGGGCGGCAGAGTTTTTTTTAATGGTTGCACCACATGATATTATTCATATGAGATTGAAAACTTTTTGTTGTAAAGTAAATCATAACAGTAAATCGTGTACAGTAAATGAAAATATTTCAAAACCATATGAAACCGACATGAATACATATATATTTCTAATACACTTCTGATATGATGCATTGCACCAGAATTGCATAAAACATGCAGCGGAGACACGCGCTCATGTGTTCTGCTGCGGGACAATGCTGTGATTCACAAACCTCGGCCCCTGTGCTGCTAATAACCAACGCTGTATTTATGAATTCTGACAGAGAATTACTTGGAATGTCAGGATGACTTTGTGAAGGCCAAAGTAGAGAAACCAACCTTCAGCTTTCTTAAAGGAATAGTTCACCCAAAAATGAGAATTTGCTAAAAATTTACTTGCAATCAGGCCATCCAAGATGTAGATGAGTAGATTTGGAGAAATGTAGCATTGCATGACTTGCTCAGCAATGGATGCTCTGCAGTGAATGGAAGTACAAAAGCACGGATTTAACTACTGTACACATGCCTTTTCCTTCTCAACTGTTTACGTTATTCATCCATGCACAAAAAAGCGGAAGAGAGCTGAATTTAGTATTCACGCAGTGTAGACGCGGCTGTCTGTGTGCGTGCGCGCGCTTCAGATGTGTGCGCAGAAAACTTCTCACACAGTGCTCGACTGTTCCGCAAACAATCCCGAGCATCTTTTATGCTCATCTTGTGCCTTCGGGCAGTCCTTATATCGAATCCTGATACGTGAGTTTTAACGAGAATGCACACGTTGGCGGTGATGCTTAGGCGGACATTTTGTGAAAATGTGGACAGTGCCAAATTAAAGGTGCCTATTTATACTACATATATCGATATTTTACGCGTGGCATCGATGCATCGTATCGTCAGACATCGTATCGATGTATCGATCCATATCGATGAATCGTTACACCTCTACTAGACAGGTGGTGCTGGGGAGGAGGAGGGTTAAATGAAACTTGCGGTTTTCATTCCTTTATTTATTTGGAGTGAACTATTCCTTAAAAAAGGGCATACATTCAAAATAAATATTATTTTACATTTTTCAAAACACACTCATAATTATTTCGTTTTTTTGCAGTGGATATTCTGAAGCAGATAGACATTCCTTCAGTGTTTATTGGTGAAGAAGCGGCCAACTCTCTCAAAGAGGATTACATCTATGGGAAAGGGTGAGGGCTCTGATTTCACTGCTGAATACTTCACTGTTCAGATGGTTACTTAACAGAAACATCTGATGCATTCAGCTGCGCTGGCGCTGCAAGAGTCATATGACACTGTATAAAGTCTGCTGTTCACACAAAGTCTGAAAAAATAAAATATTCACAAACCGTTTTTCACACCAACATTACTGACTTAAATTAAAATGTTGATTTATTAATTATATATAATAAAATATATATGTATTTAATACAAATAATACATACATGAGTTTTAAGTATTAAAGTCTGTTTATAAGTCCTGTCGTATAAAAGCAGCATCACACTCACAGGCTTGCTTCGTGTTTTCAGTGGTCATGTGATTCTCATGCCGGACTTCAGTTTGCCTCTGGAATATTATCTGATCCCATTCCTCATCATTGTTGGAATCTGCCTCATCCTCATTGTAGTTTTCATGGTGAGTCATGATTGTGTGTCATTTAAAAAAATATGAGCAAACAACCAAATATATTAGCCTTGACTGAGTTGTTTACATCTTTTCAATCTCAGATCACAAAGTTTGTTCAGGACAGACATAGAGCCAGGAGAAGTCGCTTACGCAAGGACCAGCTGAAGAAACTTCCAATTCACAAGTATAAGAAAGGTAAGACACATCTTCAATAAGATCTGACACTTGGAATATATTGTGGTTCAGCATTCAAATACTTAAAATATATCAAGGTAAGACACGTCTTCAATAAGATCTGACACTTGGAATATATTGTGGTTCAGGATTCAAATACTTAAAATATATCATACGAAAAGTTTAAGATTTTAATTTTATTTTTTTGAAGAACAATTAATACTTTTATTCAGCAAGAACTCATTAAATTAGTCATAAGTGAAAGAAAAAAAAAGATTTAAAATAAATGCTATTCTTCTGACCTTTCTATCCAACAAAGGATCCTGGGAAAAAATATCAGTTTCCACAAAAATATGAAGTACACTGCAAAAAATGGCTTATCTTACTTAGTATTTTTGTCTTGTTTCTAGTCAAAATATCTTAAAATTCTTAAATCAAGATACTTTTACTAGATAAGCCAAATGACTTAAGATATGTAGTCTTGTTTCCAGGGGGAAAAAAACTAGAAACAAGACAAAAATACTAAATAAGATAAGCCATTTTTTGTGGTGTAGCTCAACTGTTTTCAATGATTTCTGAAGGACCATGTGACACAAGACTGGAGTAATGATGCTGAAAATTCAGCTTTGATCACAGCAATCAATTACATTTTACAATGTCAGTTGTAAAATGTCAATGTTTATTGAACTTAAATGTCAAAGACCCCAATCAAATTCACTTAAAATGGCCATCTGATTTGTGTCTTGTGGGAAAATTCATTGTTTTTGTATGCGTTTCCACTTATTACTTAGTTCCTGTATGTACCAGAAATATTGCAGCACTATATACTTTGGATATATTTTTGAATTCCCCTCCCGCGCCGGAGATCTCGGCGTTTCCACCTCCTCATAGTGAATCATCAAGCCATTTTACAACCAAATCAACACCGTGACCATTGACCATTCACTGTGTGCCTGCATGAATGAGCATCCTGTTCAGCTCGCTCATAGTGCCAGCATTAGAAATGCGTTCGGCTGTGAATGTGAAAGCAGACGTTCCTCCTTAAGAAGGTGTCAGACGTCACTTTCACCGAGTATAAGGAAAGTGTGCGGTCTGGTTACAGACACCTGTGTTCACGTATCCTCTTTCAAACATTAAACCGATGAAAGGTGTACAGCGGGCCGTCGGCAGCAGAACGTGTCCAATTCGTCTTTTACGCTTCAGATATTCAGAGCAAATGAGAGTCATATCAGCGTGAAGGTCATTTGTAATTGTTTCCATCGTACATATTTACCAGACGACATATGGATCATTTATCAGCAACAAGTAAATGCTACCAGGACGCATACTTAAAATTGGTTCAGAAATGGGCTTTATTTTCTTTATGCAAAACATGTGGACATGAGCGAGGCAGCTATAGTGGAGAATAGGGCTGTCAGGATATCAAAATTTCACTACAAGATTATCCTGGCCAATAGAATTCATGATAACTATATTATCGCAACATCTATAGAAATTTTGAAGAAAAAAAAGAATGCTATTAGTGAAATTCATAACTACGTTTGTAATTTATGACCGTAACTGTTCAAACGCTTCAAAAGAACTGTTAATCAGCACTTCCTGCAGACTGAGGTGTGTAAATGTCAATTCATACCAAGAACGATAACTATAACGATAATTATAACGATTAGCATCCACACCAATGCACAGTAACGTTTTGTTTATTATAAGTGTGCACTGCAGTTTTGTCGTCTGCTGCTTTAAAGCCCCGTTCACACTAAACGATTACCGTTAACAGTGTTATTGTGCGTTGGTGTGGACGCTAATATAGTTTATTATAAGCACGCACTGCAGTTTTGTCATCTGCCGCTTTAAATGCTCAAGCTCTTTAAAGCAGGATGGATTCTGATTCTTTAAATTTATAATAATATTTCACAATATTATTGATTTTCCTGTATTACTGATTAAATCAATGCAGCCTTGGTAAGCAGAAGAGACTTCTTTCAGAAACATTAAAAAAAAACAACCCCGGAGCTTAGACAGTAGTGTAAAATGATTGCAAAGATTTTTATTCACTATTTGTTTGACCATTAAATTGTCCCGGCTCACCAGAATGAGAGATTTTAATAGTTCTAGAATCTGATTTAAACATCATTAACAAGATTTAACATGTTTGATTCGTGTCCGCAAATCAGTTATTTTAGACGGTCCATTTTAAATTCATTTAGCTACAATCAATTCATAGTTCCTCTGGAAACTATGAAAAGCCTTTTCAAAGCAAATACATAAATACTGAAATATATATATATATATATATATATATATATATCATGCTCATGTTTAACATTCCATGTTTGCCACGTTATGTGCTCTATATGTACAGTATTTGTGATGATCGATTTGTGATTATTTAGATAAAATAAAATCAAACATTGTTTAAATAGAAGCCTAAATTATTAAGTGATCATATTTCTTCACATGACTTGGATTGAACAGCTTGAATTCATATGGGTTAATTTTACAACACCTTTTAGTTAACACTTTTAAGTTTTGGTTACCTGGACTTTCAGTGGAGTGAAAGAAACCTCTCAGGATTCATTGAAAAAAAAAACATCTTAATTTGTGTTTTGAAGATTAGCCAAAGTCTTATGGTTTTGGAATGACATGAGGATGAGTAAATGAGCTCTTTAAAGCAGGATGGATTCTGATTGGCTGTCAGTGTTTTAATCGTTCATCTGCTGGAAAAATCGTTCTGAACATATCGTTCCTCTGTCGTTATCGTTATAATTGTGATGTGTCTTTGTTCATATAGAATTAATTTTAAAAACTTTATAGTTATCATTAAGTGTGAACGGACACCCTTCTTTTTTACGGAATATAAAAAAAACTCGCACATTGGCTAGCAAAGTTTTTTTCGGCTGCGAAAGTCTCTTGCTTTCATCTTTAATCTTATCTGACGTGTATTTTTTGTGACCGTAATAGATATTGCATCGTCTTTCATTTTTGTTACGATGGGTGGCATCAGAGATAAGGTGCAATAGCGCCACCTACTGTGTTGGAGTGATAATATTTTCATCTGCTATTATTGTTTAATGTGTAGTATTAACACAGTATCAGTATTTAATTTTTTATATATCAGTTACCCTTATATTGTGACACCCCGAGTGGAGAACTTAGATATTACATTTGTCTTTACATATTTTATTAATATTATTTACATAGTATATAACATGTTTATTAATTGTGGTGCTAGTTGGAGATCTAAATAAAGCACAACCCAAACTAATTTTGGAGTTTAATCATATTTAATTTACTACATAAAAAGTGATCATATGATACTAGTTTACAATTGACTAAATACTGTACAACACTACATACAGTCTACTATTCATCGGTACACGTTTTGCAACGATAATTGTTTCAATCAGTAGTTGTCACGTCACGTGACCTTATCACTGAAGTGCATTGCATTGTGGGATACAGTATTCTATCCAGTAGGCTCTGTTGTATACTGGACATTTTCACAAATAACACACATTTTCACTTCACTCCTGTGGCCTCATGGGATAGTAAAGTGTCTGTCAGATGTGCACTGAAGAATCTCAGCACAAGTAGTAGGTCATCCTGTGAATTCAGACATACTACTCTGTTCACACACTGTTTGGCGCCTACTGTCCAGTAGGGACCTATGCGTATTTAAATACACCCATTCTTTGCAAATATACTAAATACTGCATGAATTGCAGCACATTATTTACATTTTCATAAATCAGCCAGGACATTTTTAATTTTCAGAATATTAGCAAATCAGCATTTAGAGGAAAAGCCTTTTTTTTTTTTTTTTTTGAGCTGATGGTGCAACTTACTCCAAAGCATGTATATGGTGAGTCCTTTCTAAATATATGTTAGAAAACCTGCCGTTTGCTAGATTAACCCACTGACACATCTTACCCCATAACATATTTAACACAAGCAGTTGTTTCAGCTGCATTGACATTACAGAGGCTTTTGAATCCCAGTCCAGCAAACGTGTGCGTTTCACCCTGATGTTTACCTGCTCTGCTTCCCGCTCATGGCCTCTGCTGACTCGTTGGTTTTCTTCATCCGGCCGCTGTGCTGATTCATCTGTTCTGCCGGCCGCTGCAGTCTGCCTCACTGACCAGGCGAGAGAGCAGCGGGGACAGTGAGCTGGACCGCAGACTCAGAACAAACAGCTGCTGTCACCGCCGTTATACGACACACACCAGAAAACATCGCTGCAGGCTGATAGAAACATCTCAGGGATTCAGCCCTTGAGATTTAAACTCTTATATATAGACGTCTCATACTATTTATAAAACGGATAGTTCCGGTCCTTGATTCCGATTGGCTGAGCCACGTTCGAAGCTGTTGTAAATTACTCTACAAACATACACCTTTGTTTACTTCTGTGTGTTGCTCGGCAACCACTTTGTTGGAACCACAACTGTTTCTGAGGAGCTACATTGTTTTAATGTTTTTATTAATATCATTACACTTTATTTGCTCTGTTTTATTCTGTGAAACCTTACTACGTATATCGAATAACCGTTTTATAAAAGCAATAAGCCCCGTGAAGCTGTGGTTTACAGTGAATTTATAACAGCTAAGGGGCGTTAGGCACGACGCGGAGCGGAGTTTATTGCTTTATTCTAACTATGTAACGGAGAGCATTTCAATATATCACCTTTGAGAGCTATATCATATAAAAATACTGTTATAACTAATTTATTAAAATAATATTTTTAAAGATTCTTTGTTATTATTATATATATTTTTTTTAAGTTAGAGGAAACATTTTTTTTCCATATAAACAATGTTGTTGAGTAGAGATACAAAATGCTTAAGCAAGAAATGAAACGGTAAGATATTTTTAATATCAGTATTAAACATTGAAAACAAGTTTAAAATATTACATGTTTTGCATATTCTTTCACAAATTAAAAAAGTAAAATAATTTAAATATTAATTTTCGTTCATATAAATTTGTATAATACATATTTGAATTGATGAATCAGACTTATAAATCTGTGAATCAGGCGCGCAAACTCTGTGCAAATATATCACGAATATCGAATATGTCTAACAAATTAGCAAATTCAAAAAAACTTTGTGAATTGTTAGTCTACTTGAAGTGATCTTCAGGAAACTTAATGGTGGGTAAAAAAAAAACTTTATAGTAAAATCTCAAAAAAACAAACAAATAAAAATATTACTTACAATGTTGGTTTATTTTCTATTGCCAAAAGGTCATTGCAAATATATTACGAATATTGAATATGTGTAATGAATTAGCAAATTCAAAAACAAATCATTAGTCTTACTTGACGTGATCTTGAGAACTTAATGGGAAGAAAACTAATAGTAAAATCTCAACAAAAACAATACCCTCAATGTTGATTCATTTTCTATTGCCAAAAAATCTGTGCAAATATATCACGAATATTTGCAAAATCAAAACATCACTGCGAATCACTATTTCAAGTCTACTTGATGTGATCTTGAGGAACATTAATGGTGGGGGGAAAACACGTAATATAATAAAATTGTTAAAAAAAAATTTAAATTTTGGTTAATTTTCTATTGCCAAAAAAAATGTAGTGCAAATATATCATGAAAATTGGATACATCTACTGAATTTGCAAATTCAAAATCTTCTTGACATGATCTTGAGGAAACTTAAATCATGGGGGAAAAAAACAACGAATATAGTAAAATCTCAACAAATAAATAAATAAAGCTTATCATACAATGTTGGTAAATGTTCTATTGCCAAAGAATTTGTGCAAATATATCATGAATATTGGATACGTCTACTACGATCATTGCGAATCGCTAGTCTACTTAATGTGATCATGAGGATACTTGATCATGAGGGAAAAACGATGATTATAGTCAAATCTGAAGAAGAAAAAACATGATACAATTTTGGTTCGTTTTCTATTGCCAAAAAAATCAGCGCAAATATATTACTAATATTGGATAGCAGTTTAAACATGGTAATGGTAAACTATATTATGAAGTGCCTTCCAAACATGTAACCCAGTAGATACAGGCTTTTCCTTAAACCAATAATATCACCAGTTCAGAACGAATGAAGAATTTGGTCCAAAAGGTCATTGGCTTCACAAAGAGTTGAGTTGTTTCTGTTGCAAACGACCAGACCTGCCGTCTCTGTGAACTCTTCAACCAAACATTGAGTCGGAGGCATCCTGCAGTGACGGATACGAGCTTCTCCATGTATGGTCACATGCAGCCACGGCCGTTTGTGTTCGTTTACCGCTTATATAAACACCGAGCATCAGCGGAGCGGCTCCTTCATTGGTGGAAAGAAACCTGAAAAAAGCCTGAGGAATTTAAAGGGAGGGCAGGACGAATTCCTGGACTTATTGAGCCTGGAATGCTTTCCTTCATCCCCGAAACCCAGAAGCTGCACGCTTCTCAATCAAGTGCTGCAAGTGTGAAAATCAGAAAGCCTTCTATCAAAGACATTGATGTAAAATGAGGTAAAACTGTAATTTATATACCTGTACAGTTCATTATTTCTTCGTTCCTCCCAGGTGATTCGTACGATGTGTGTGCCATTTGTTTGGATGAGTATGAGGAGGGCGACAAGCTGCGGGTTCTTCCCTGCTCACACGGTGAGTTTCTGTCTCGTTCTGGCGCTTGATCAGCAAATGATACAACTGGGGAATTCATTTGCAGCTTGAAACATTTCGCCGTTAAATCAGTGAAATGTTTCAGATTCAAAACAAGTGCTATCAACAGTGTCTGTGTTGCTTACAACCAAAGAAAATCATGTAAAAAATATTGTAAGCTACTATCAGCACTTTTTTTTTTTTCTTTTTTTTTTATATGAACAAAAGTATAAGTTATTTAACTAAATTATTTTCTGTGATGCTAAGGAAGCATTTAACCAAGAGCATTTGTTGCAAATGTAACCACATGACTAAATAAATAAGTAAAATTAGTAAAAAAAATAAATACATAAAATAAAGGCATCGTAAAAACCTTCCATGTCAGTTTATGTGACAAAAAAAAAAAATCCTAAAAAAAAATGTATTAAAAATACTTTATCAAAATCAACCCTGGGACACATATATATACAGTATATACACACATATACATATATATATTAGTGCTATCAAACGATTAATTGCATCCAAAATAAAAGTTTTTGTTTACATAATATATGTGTGTTCTGTGTATATTTATTATGTATATATAAATACACAAACATGCATGTATATATTTCAGAAGAATGTTGTTTATATATTAAATATATATATTTTTAAATATAAATTATATGAATATATACACATGCAAATATTTTCAAAATATATACTGAATGTGTGTGTATTTATATATACATGATAAATATACACAGTACACACACATATATTAGGCATGGTAGGGATTTTTATAAATTTGAAGAAAAAACAACTCATGACATTAAAGTGTAGAATAATAATTGGATCAATATATATATTAAATCAAATTATCAATATTTCTTTAAAAAATACATTTATATATATATATATATATATATGGCGATAATGTCTTTTTAATTAATTTTAGTTAGTGGAATTGAAGTGAATTACTAATACATTTAAATAATTACCATTTAATAAACCAGCTTTGTCAGGATGTGTGGCATTAATTCTCTCTGCACCAATCATCAGCCTATCACAGCAAGTGTGTCGACCCATGGCTGACCAAAACCAAGAAGACCTGCCCCGTGTGCAAGCAGAAGGTCGTGCCGGCTGACGGCGACTCTGAGTCCGAGTCTGGTGACAGCGGCGGCGAGGAGAACGAAGTGTCGGAAAACACGCCCCTGCTGCGATCTCTGGCCTCCACCGGCGCCCATTCCTTCGGCACCATGTCCGGCTCGCTGTCCCGTCCCGACGCCGAGTCCTTGGACTACGACGAGCGCAGCAACACCACCGACAGCGAGGAGGAGGCTACCGTGGAGACTGTGGTGGTACAGCTGCAGCAGGGCTGTCCCGACAACATGGAGGCCAGCGCTTGAGACGTTAGCGACGCCAACTCGAACTCTCAGTGGAGATTCCAAAACATTTCAGCGTCACTTACAAGTTACCATTGAAAAATGTTTAACATTCACCACGTGCAGCGATACTATGCAGCGAAATTTTATAAATCATGGTTTCCCCCCCAAAAGAAGTGCGAAAATGCGTGAATTTTGCCAACCTGGTGAAACGTCACCTTAGCGCTTGCTGCCAAACTCATCTCAGATGTGCATCCGATCACGACCAACTGCATGGTTTATACGACACGATAAGACTTTATTAGCGACACTGACGTCACCGTTTTAGTTTGATCATTAACAGCGGAGCCGCTCCAAACACCAGTCACTCAGACGTGATCTTGGAAGTGTAGTTAGGTATAACACATCATTTATATACTGTAAGTAGGAAATAAGTTGGGTAAGTAGGAGTTGAAGGGTTTTTTTGCTAACACAATGTGATCTGTTACTGATGTCTGATTGCCTTTAAATGTTGCTTTACTGTAAATACACCTTTCACTCACCCTTGTTTCTAAGTAGTCTACATTCATTTCTCTTTTCTGAATAAAATACTACACCTTTTACTGTTTGTGTGTCAGTTTGTCATCCAGCGGTTTGGAAAGCAGCACATGGTTTTAAGATTTTATTACATTTTAGAAACACAATATAAACATAAGTGCACCTAGATGAAATGTTTGTGCAAATCTGTGTGTAAATATTCCAAATTTTGAAAAAAAAGCAATTTTTTTGTACATCATGAGCATGTTGTTTCCCTCTTTTTAATTTGACACCCTAAAGCCTAAATTTACAGTAATGTTTGAGACACTTTACAATAAGGTTCCATTTGTTAACATTAGTTAACTACATTAGTTAACATGAACTAATAATGAAAAATACTTGTAAAGCATTTATTAATCTCTGTTCATAGTAACTGCAACATTTACTATTATGTTATTAAAATCCAAAGTTTTATCTGTTAATATTATTTAATGGACCTGAGCTAACAATGAACAGTTGTATTCTTCTTATGTTATACTGTAACATTATACATAATATACTATAACAAATGTATTGTTCATTGTTAATGTTAGTTAATGCATTAATCAACATTAACTAATGAACCTTATAGTAAAGTGTTTTCAAAGTTTTTAAATTTACCGGAAATTCTCCACTCCTTTGCAAGCCTAAATAAAAAAATCAATTATTTGTTTTTTTTTTCCAACATTTTACATTTTTGTGCAATAATTCTCAGCTATATTTTTATGACCTTTTTTTTTTTTTTTTTTACACCAAAAGTAAAACTAAGTTTGATTATTTTTCCACTTTTTGGAAAACCCAAAAAAATATATATAAATAATAAAATAAAGTTATTTCAACAGTTTCTGTGTTGTTCATTAACCAGGGTTTCTGCAGGATTTTAAAGCTCAAATTTAAGACCTTTTTTAAGACCTGCACAAATAAAATTAATACCATATAAGCAGGGAAGGGCAGTACCTATGGTAACACTAAACTGTAAAATGATTGTAAAAAGCACGATTTACAGTTCAGAGACAGGTCTTCACAAAAACAAAGTTTAATGATCATGGCCTTCACATCTCAGCCTTTAAACCATTTTTTAGAAAATGGAAAAAAAAAAAAAAAAACTATGGTTACTATAGTTAATCCATGGTAATCACAAATTAACCATGGTTTCGCTACACTAACCAAGGCTGGAAATGTTTCAGCACCAACTGGTTAGATTTTTTGGGAAATTAAAGGGATTTCTATGTTTTATTCATTCAATAGCCTACGCACATACACGTAGCGCAACATATAATAATCATTTTTGAATTAATCTTTTTGAACAGTCACTTGCTTCGTTCCTGAATGAATCAGCTGTCTGAACAAATCGACTGAATGAATGATTCAGTGACAAAGATGGTGATTGCCGCCACCTATTTAAATAATTTAATATTTCTATATTCAGAACTTATTCATCACATAAGATTGTTATGAATTTAAATGCTTTCATGCCACCTCTGAGCCTCATTAAACAGTCTGTAAGTATACCTAAATGCCACTTTTGTGTTCTTCTGTGCCACCTCTGTAGTGCAAAGATTATTTTTTTTATATTGATTTGATTGGTAACTTATGCTTCCTGACTGTCTTATTAACTAATTGAATGTACCGTTATAATTAAAAAAATAAAAGTTTATAAATATAACACAGGGTGCCTTTGATCTTGATACCTAAAAACATATGGTTTAGAGGAAACATGAAATAAGTTTAATGTTATAGATTATAAAGGTTTATATAATTAATTAAATCTGAAAGTTCGTCTAAAAGTTCCCCCAGTGAATTTTGGCCTTTTCCACCACTGACACTTACCATAGTTTAACCATGGTATATTTTTTTGTAAAACTATGGTTATACAAATAGTAGTCAATATGCTAAAAAATAAAAATAAAACATGGTTACTATACTTTTACTATAGTAAAACCATGGTTAATTTTCATAAGGAAAAGCTATCAATTATTAATGTAAACCACTATTATCAATCAACTATTAATTAAATATATTTTACGTTCTTAATTGTTTACATTTTTATAATGCCACCAGTTTACATTTACAACTCTGTTTGCAGCGTACAAACATGGGTTGATTTTCCCGTTGGTCCGATCAAAAACAGCAGCTCTGCCAGCAGGAGGCGCTTTTGAAGCGGCAGAAATAGAACTATTTCCCCGGTAACAGCAGAACACAAAGCAGCGGACTTTGAAACGTGCAGCGCTCGTGTTTATTCAATAGATTCATAGCCTTTTGAAATTTAATCGTCACATACAGCCATATCGCAATTCTTGTCCCCAAATTTAAGACCTCTTGAAATTATAATTAAGACTTCCTTGTTCCATTTATGACTTTTTATGGCCTTAAATTTGATACAACTAAATTTAAGACTTAAGACTTTTTAAGGACCCGCGGAAACCCTGATTAACAGATTAATAATGAAATAAAATAGAATCTGACATACCGTTTTAATGTGACATTCAAGAAAAGTTTGACTTTTACATTTTTATAGGAGAAATTTAGCAATGAAACAACAAGTTTGTCTTCCATGAACACTTTCCAATTTATGTGCAAACAGTCTATGACTATTATCTACTTTAAACTTTTTTGAGGAAAAAAGAAGAAAAAAATCGTGAGATAAACCCTTAAACAACACACAGCAAAGAAAACTGACAAGTAACTGGGTTGGAATAGGTTTATTTAATCCGTCTGTAAACAAGGTGGTGAAATTAATTTATGGCATTTCTCGGTTTATGCATATGAAATCAGACTGCATCCAAGATGTATGAAAAAGTACAGGGAAAAAGAGAAATCAACTAAAGTCACCTGTACAAATAACCCACAAGGCCAGAGCTTCAGCTGATAGTAAAAACCCCTGAACAAAGAAGCGACAGAATCATTCGGGAAGCTGTTTGATTCAATGACAACAGATTCTCTACATTATGGCACAGGATACACATTATGATTTGGGTGTCATACTTGAACATTTGGACTTGATGAAAGATCAAGTTTTGACAGACAGTTGTATCGCTGACGACTCGAAGGCAATTTAATCCACAGTTATGACAGTACGGGTTCAATTCAATTCAAGTGTGGACGTGAAGTCTGCGATCAGATGCTAGTGTTTTGTTGGTTAGCGTTTATGGTAGTGCGTAAATAACCCAGGAAGTGACAAAAATTGGTCAAACTATACTCCAAACCGCTGATACCCACTGTCTGAAATGGCAGTCATCTTGAAAATTAATTAATGAATAAGCTAGCAAAGTAAGTGCGATGACGGAATGTCAATAAACATTCAATTGTGGGGTTGATGGGGGGGGATGCTACCTGCAGGCCAAAGAAAAAAAAAAAAAAAATCACAGTAAAGCCAACTAAACGGCGCCTCGACTCGAGACCTCTGGAAAAAAATATCAATCGGTATTTCAGAAAATGTCGCGCTTAGTTACTGTTGCAGCGCCAATGGCGGCAAACTTCGGTTTGAGGAAAAATAACAAAACAGAGGTTTGTTAGAGCAGACGCCATATTTAATTTGACGAAAACACTAAATATGCCGTCCAGCCTAACTAGGGTTCATTTGGTAGGCTTGAAGATATGCATACAGTCGACCGTTCCCAGATTTGATCTAGGAATGGGAGTTTGAGTTTAGCTCAAGCCCTTGATAATCAACTAAACTCCCAAAAACTTTCACGAATAAGCAGAAATGAGACATGAAGTCTTCACGCTAGCATTTGGTCTGAAACGCGTCATGGGATCGCAGTGCCAAAATTGGGCCGAACACAATAAATGGACATTTATGGGAAAGAAACAGGGTTTGGCAGCACGAAATGGAAGTAGAGTTGAAAACCAATAGACGATGAAGCAAATCTCATCTAGAAAGGTTAGCAGAATGAGCAGCTAGTATTGGGAGGTGTCTTAATATCCAGATTTCCTCAGGTATTCAGCCATAAGATACGCTTTCTTGTTGAGCAGCCCTCCATGGGTGCCTTCCTTGCCCATGACAATAACCATTGCTGGAGTACACAAGGAAAAAAAAAAAACAAGAACAAAAATCAACAAACTTGAGGGGAAAAAGAAAAAAAATAAACTACTTTCCCAACTTAAAAAGGAATGCAATTGTTGACAAGATTCATTACCCTTCTTTGCCATTAAGACGTCCAAAAACGTTACATGTGTTTCAAGGGGGAAGGGGGGGGGGGGGGGGGTCTTATTTTGCCATTGAATATGCCTTCTTATTCAAGCCGCCGCCGTGGACCCCTTCTTTGCCCATTACAAGAACCAAGACTGAAAGAAAAAGACAGAGAGATGAAGTTAAGAGGACAGGAAAATCCCAGCACTGGGAAAAAGCCAAACCAAGATCAACGAGTCCAGATAGGACAGAATAAAAAGCAGAAAGATCGAGATAGCATGCATGCAGAGTGAAAGACTGCAGCCTAGAGGAAATACCATCATTTAGCTACAAATGCTAACACTATATAATAACTTTCACTGACGTTTTACTTATTTTAATAAAGCTTTGTTCGAGGCACTTCAACTCAAAGACACTGTTAATTCGACTTTGTATTTTGAGTTATGACTTTGAGTTACGGCTATTATTGTGGCATCATCATTTTCAGATTTACATACTTCTAAAAAAAGAAGAGAAAAAAAAAAAGACTTTAAGAACCATCAAGTTTTTTTTGTCAATCAAACAATAATAATTACAATCATATATAGATCACATTTGTCGCACTGTGTTGTACTTTATGCAGTATTGTACTGCAAGTTTACTTCAATTTTGAGATTAAATATTAAGTTATTTTAAGTTATTAAAATATTTAATTAAGTTAAGAATGTCAATGTTGCATTACAAAAGCTAAACAGATTTTTATAAAAGTAATATTATAAATAAAATATTTAATATAGTATTATATTTGTAACGAAAGCTTGAAAAACAATATAAAAACAAATAATTAATATAGTCTAGTATATAGTATTATATTTATATATTAAAAAAATGTATATATTAAAAATATATAATGATTATAATATTTGTGATATAATATTAATATTACAATTA